TTACCATGCACTGTGGCCATGACTTTTACAGTTTGAGGCAAGACAGCAAATCTAGCATGAACTTCTTTTTCTTTCTTCACAGTTTCACAGACAGATTTGTTCCTAGCGTAGATCTTAGCAACCTCAGTATATGCTTTCCTTTTCCTTATTAAATCAAGAACATTCACCTTTTCATTTAAAGGAAGCGCTTTACAGCTTTCTTTGGCTTATTTGAATTACCAGCATCACTACTCTTGTGCTTTGGGGCCATTATTAAGTAAAATAAGGGTGACTTGGACACAGGCAGTGTGATACTGTGACAGTGGATCTGATAACTGAGATGGCTACTAAATGACTAATGGACGGATACACTGGACAGAGGGATGATTCACATCCCAGGCAGTACAGAACGGGATGGTAATTGATCTTACCATGCTACTCAGAATGGTGTGCCATTTAAACAACTTATAAGTTATTTATTTTTGGAATTTTCCATTTAATATTTTCAGACCATGATTGACCCTGTGGGTAACAGAAACCTTGGGTAAGGGAACAGTACTGTACTGGCATCATAAAATCTTGAGAGTTGGAAGAGATATTTGGTTCTTGAATGAACAACTCTGGTAGAGAAAAAGATTGACTTGCATAACTTGCTGAGATTTGAACACCAACTCCCTTACACATTTATCTGTTGAGTGGAAATAATAAGATACTGTCATTAGACATATGTATGGACTTAAGTGTATCACCCACTTAACATATATTAACTCATTAATTCTCACAGCAAGGCTATCAGGTGCTATTATTACACACATAGATGAGAAACAGATGAGACACAGAGTTTAAGTAACTGACCAATTTCAAACAAGTAATAAATGGTAGGTCTGAGATTGGAACCCAAGAAGTTTGTTGTCAGATCCCTATGGCCAACCACAGTGGCAAACTATGACCCTTAGGCCAAATCTGGCCCATGGCTGTTTTTGTACAGCCAGCCAGAAAACTAAGGATTATTATTATTTTTTATTTTAAAAAAGTTTTAAAGAAGAAAGAAAAAAGGAGAATCGTGACAGAGATTGTATGTAGACCACAAAGCCTAAAATATTTACTATGTGGCCTTTTACAGTGAAAGTTTGCTGGCCCCTATACTAACCATTCCTAGGAAAATGTGTTCCTTGAATAGAAAGTTGAGCACCACTGATCCTTTCAGATGAAGGACATGTCTTTCATTAAATGAGTTATTGCAGAGTAAAGTATATACTCAGAGCTCCTTCTGTGGTAGAATTATTTTTCTTGATTTTTGCAAATTTAAAATTAAGACTGGGTGTAGGGAAAGTTTCTTGGGATGTAGGGAGAATTATCCCTCTGAGTGAGATCAAAGGCAGCTGGGCTGGCGGTGAGTCACTGAATGTGATGCCTGTTATTAAGACAATGAATTTCAGCTGGATTTATGGGCTGATTTTTTTTTTTTTTTTTTTTTTAGCAGTTTGGAGATAGGATATATTAGCCCAAAAACTTCCTGTTTTAAAGCCATGATTTGTTTTTGGAAAGAAAAATTATATCAGCTCTAAAAATTGATGAATTCTGGTATTGTATCAACAACTATTTGGAGAAAAAAAAAAAAAAAGACTAACAATGCCATTTTTCCTCCCCAGAGCTGTAATTTCATTAGTAAGAAAGAACATAGCGGGGTGTTTTTTGCCTTTCTAAATAAAAAAGATTTAGATTATTGGAGAAATTCTGTTATTCATGTAAATTTTCGTAGGGGGCTAAATATTAAGCTACTTAACAAATATTTATTAAACCTTACTATGGTGCTAGGTATTTTGGGGGACTTTGTAAATATGATTAGAGAAGGTTTTTTTTTTTTTTTGCTATGATGTGATTTTCATTTGATAAATGGTTGTTGTAATAGGCCACACTCTATAGATGATTTACATGTTTCTTGCTCATGCAAACTGTATTAACTGTTTTCTAACAGAGTCAGGCAGTGGCTCTAGAGTTTATGTTTGGTCACAGTTGGGCTTCCATTTGTCTTTTCTTTGACACCATCTTAGACTGGTTTTGGTAGTGGTTGATGGGTACCCATTATTCAAGCCCATTTCTTCAATCATCTCACTTGATCCTTTTGGTTGTTGTGGGTGGATTGGGTAAGGTACTAATTATAGTTGTTTAAATTATAATATTGTCTGGTTAGAAAATTTCTGCTGTCTATTCTGTTTTTCCTTTTACTTAGATGATTCAGATTGTTGAAAAGAGTTTTATATTGAATATTTTTCTGATTGGAAGATTAGGGATTGTGCATAAAGTTGAACTCTCTTTTTTTAATTTAGGGATTTCCAAACATATATAAATGGAACCCACTTTTAATAGTCATCATACGTGGGCAGTCTTATTTACTCTTTATCTTCCTCCTCCATTGTCTCCCATCTACCCCTAATAATTTTAAAACAAATCACAAACACTACTTCCTTTCATTGAGTAAATACTTTATTATTTGTCTCTAAATTTTAAGAACCCTTTAAAAAATACCAATGCCATTAGCATGCTAAAAAATTAACAATAATTCCGTAATATTGACAAATACAAGTTAGTGTTCAGATTTTCCTAATTTTCTCATAAATACCCTTTTACAGTTGACTTTTCAGATCAGAACCCAAATAAAGGCCGTGATGTATGTTTGGTTGAATCGTCTCTTAATTCTGGTGATATACTATAATAGTTTCCCTTTCCTTTTTTCTCTTTTGCCATTGATTCTGTAGATCAGTTGTCTTCTGTCCTTATATTTCTGATAAATTTGTGGTATAAATTTTAGTGGAATCTAAAGTATGTGTCAAATGTAGGTTAAATTTTTTGACACACATACTTCGTAGATGGTGAACAAGTTGGACTGTTGAACTGGTTGGCAAGAACTTGTGAGTGGTGCATGTCAGCACTTTCTTCTTTTACTTTTACTTCTTTTTACTTCCCCCAGTTGAGTAAGATTTATTTCTCATCATAGTCACGATAGTGAATAGCAGAAGAAACAGAAGTTTCTACGTAATGTTATTGAACAGGCCTGCTTTTGACAGAACTACTTATTTATTACTTGGTTTTGCTTTTTTGTAATTAGCAACAGTACTGAAGCAACAGGAGTCCTTATTTGGCATAGGCTTGCCAGACACAGTCAGACTACATATTTTTAGTTTTGCCTTCTGAGTCATTAGATTCCATAACATTTCTGTCTGCCCAAGGGTCTGGCCAACATTACTTTTTTTTTTTTTTTTAACATCTTTATTGGAGTATAATTGCTTTACAATGCTGTGTTAGTTTGTGCTGTATAACAAAGTGAATCAGCTATATGTATACATATATTCCCATTACTTTTCCTATTAAGGATGATGAAATCCTTGCTTTTAATTTTGTACTGGAAATTATAAGTATAAAAATCCATCCAGGTAAAATCTATAAACTTTCTCTGTGTAGAAAAAGTTAAGAAAGAAAGCTATCTTGTCATTTTATTATGCAGAAAAGAGACTTAAAAAGTATTCCTTTTACTCTTATGAAATAAAATCTTGTATTGCCTATTTCAAAATTTATTGTAAATGATAAATAGGTCAAGTTTTCTTAATTGTTAAGCCCTGTTTGAAACTTCACAAATGAAATTTTGTTTTTTAAAGAATAGTTAATTGAAAAAGTACTCTTAAAATATATTTGCTTCAGCCCTGACAGCTTTAATGAAAATGACTTTTATTTTTCCTTAAATATCTATTTCTCATAATGGTGAAAGTTAAAATATTTCTAGAAAAATATCTAAGAATGTTGATATTATTTTCATGAAAATGTTTTCCTTTTTTTTGGTTGACTTGTTTGAATTTCTTTCTTTATGTGTCTTACACTTATGTATATTTTGTTTAAAGTATTTTCAAAATTTGATGATTACCTTGGGTCATATGAAATTTTTTTTAATTGATTCCTATAATACATTAATGCTATATATTTCATTTTCAATGATTGTCTACTGTTTAAGGGATATTTAACACTGTCTGACGTTTTTCTTATTGATAACAATCAAGTGAGAGTCAAATGATATAACTCAGTGCCTAGAATGTTAAAAAGATGTTAATTTTGTTTTCTTAGTCCTTTGGTCCTCCTATATCCTAAGGTTAAAAAAAAATGCCCTGGCTGCTAACCTTTGGCATTTTCTGACGCACTTGTTTCTTTTATGCATTTTTCCAACATGTCTTTTCCTGATAAGCATTTTCTTTAATAGCTTCTATAGGTATTTTGAAATGACTCCTTAAATCTATCTACTTCTGCTAAGAAGAGGTGTCTTGTTAGATTGAAAATAGTAATTCATTATAAAATGGTGACTCAAAGCTGTATTTACCAGGGAAGTGCTGATTTTAGTTCCTTTTATTCTTTAAAGAAAAAACAAAGCACTGAAGATGGTGTAAATGTGGATTTTATAGACTTCCCATATACAAAAATTCATTGATAGGAGGAAAAATTAAGATTCTCTTTCTAAATATTTGTTCCCAATTCATCATAATTTATTTTAAAAAATTAGGATCAGTCTCACGATTGGATCTCTTCTTTTTGTACATGTGCTTTGAGGAATATAATGTGCTTCTGGACTCACTGATGTGTGTAATAAATCAGTGATGGTTTATAGGTGACAGTGAACCTTGTTGGTTAGATAACATTTAGGAGAGTTTGTCTTTACAGATAAAAACTTTGTGCGTTTTATGCAAGTGTTTCTCTTAGTGTTGAAATCCTCTGTTGAGGGCATGCTTTACCTTAAAAATAAATGGACTTTTTTACCATTAAAATAATTCATTATTTGGCAGTCTGTCGTTTGGCAGTAATATAACTAATTTTAATTGCCTAGTTTTTCAACAGCTCTTTGTTTAGCCTCATGTAGATGAACAAACCAGAACATTCCCATAGGTTTAATGAGGTCTCTAATCACTGCAGTGATCTGTAAAGTGTGAGGAGTTAGCCTCTTGGTAAACTGTCTTATGTTATTCCCTCTGTCTTTGCAGATAAATTATTAGTCATAACTGTAGCAACAAAAGAAAGTGATGGATTCCATCGATTTATGCAGTCAGCCAAATACTTCAATTATACTGTGAAGGTATGATATATCTTTTAATTCATGGAGATCTTAGAATATGTGCCTGAAGTACATTTTTCATAACAACAACAATAACAACCACAACATGATCTGCAATCCCCAGAAGGATGGTGAAATTGGGTTACATAATGGTGTCAGTTTACCTGTACTTGATTGTTTTAAAGATACGTTTTGGCCTTATTAATACTCTGCCACTCAGACAATAATTTCTTAATATTTGCTAATGCTTTGTGTAAACATGTTCTATAAAACAACAGAAAAATATATTTATACTTATATTTCTTTTGGGGGGTCATGTACAAGTACAACATAACTAAGATTTGACGGTAATTTTTTTCACTTACTTTGAAGAATTGTAATGGGTTTGTCTAACCTGAGAATTGGAAACATTACTGTGAAGGAGATACCTTTTCTGTTCCAGTATTGAGAGGTGCTTTTCCGGTTTTTTTGTTTGTTTCAGAGGAATTTAATAACATTATAAAAGTATAAAAGGGTTTTAGAAGACTTATCTCCAGGGAAATAGCTCACTGATAAATGATCAGAGGAAACCTGGCATATTAGGTATGACTAGTAAACTGAGCTGTGAAAGGCCTGCCTTTAAAAAAAAAAAACTTATTTATTTTCTAATAGAAATTAGGCTATGTCATCCAGGTCTTTTCCACATGCAGAGGAGAATAGGGAAATATCCCAGGTAGGAAAACAAATAAACTTAGTTCATTTACAAAACAAAACAGCAGAGCTTCCCAGGTGGCGCGGTGGTTGAGAGTCCGCTTGCCGATGCGCGGGACATGGGTTCGTGCCCCGGACTGGGAAGATCCCACATGCCGCGGAGCGGCTGGGCCCGTGAGCCATGGCCGCTGAGCCTGCGCATCCGGAGCCTGTGCTCCGCAACGGGAGAGGCCACAACAGTGAGAGGCCCGTGTACCGAAAAAAAAAAACAAAACAGCAAAGCAAAAAAAAAAAAGGGAGAGAAAAATTGCTTTTTTGCCTAGGGAAAAACTGAGCTATTTCAGAAAACTGAGCTATTTCAGAATGTAATGCACAAAAAAGGTAATATTTGCTACCTAGCCACTGGAAGACTAGGTACAGATGTTAATACAGAATAACTATTAAAGAGGCTAACTTTGCTAGAAAAGAGATGTAGACGTTTAATGTAGGATAAATGAGAAATATGTTAGAGAAGTTTGTTAGAAGGGAAATATTGTAGTATGCATTGATAGGGGGCAATACGAAAGAAAAATCAGGGTAAAATAATGCTGAAATCCAATGAGGGGCATCTCAAGGGGAGAGTGTGGAATATTTTTTACATGTGAGGCACTGTGTTAGGACCTTGATATATGGTATGCTGTTGATTCTTTGTATAAACCATGTAAGGTAGGTATTACTTTACTTATTAGTGAGGAAAACTTGCTCCAGGGTATGCACCTGTAAGGCGTCAAATGTTGGACCCCAGCCCCGTTTGACTGACTCTGGAGTTTTTGATCCTCCTGCTGTCTTTCCGTTGTGAAATGCAGTGGTTCTCAAAATGTGGACCCAGACCACCAGCATCAGCATCATCTGGGAAATAGGAATGAGGATTCTTAGGCGCAACCTCACTTACTGAATCGCATACTCTGGGAGAAGGGACCAGCAGTCTGTGTTTTAACGAACCCTCCACGTGATTCGGATGTATACCAAAGTTTGACACGTGGATGCTGTGGAAAGAAAACAGAGACTAGAGCTTAATCAACACAGTGCTGCACAGAGTAGGCGCTCAGATGCACGTAGGCCCGGTATGACTGCAATATTGGAGAAGTCCAGAAGGGTTGTAGAACAGAAGGGTAACAAATCTTAGGGCCAGAGGAGGTCACTTAGGGCAAAAACAAATAATTCTATTAGAGTAGCCCCTGTATGAATCCAGATGCCCGCCACAGTTTGAGTTAACATTTATCCCTTCGGCATAAGTAGTGATGAAGTGCTCACTAGAGATTTGAGGCTGGGAACACCACGAACTCTTGTATTTGGCTCGATGTTAAGTAAATTTGGAACTAATAATATTTATTTTCTAAATTAATTTGATCTTTTTCTTTTGTATTTATCCTTAATTTCATTCCCCCTGAGTTTCACAAATCTTTTAGTAGATCCTTATTTTGGGAACTTCAGACTTTGTTTTGGTGAAACTAAGATACAAGGTGTGTGTGTGTGGTGGCAGGGGGCGTAGACCTGCTTCCTGCTCCCTCCCAGCCTCCCAGGATTCAGGAGGCAGCTGCTGAGGCGAAGCAAACAGAGCCGAGAATGGCTGCAGGCTCAGCTCTGAGCACTTGTGCTTAGGCGATTTCTTGTATTGATAAATTATTAAACTTTTGAGGATAACCTAAACTTAAGATTTTTAAGGTAAAGAAGGTGACGTTTGACTTGATGCCCTCTGTGTTTCTCTGGACAGCCCATCTGGTTTCAGCAGGAAAATCCTTTAAGGGCCCCAGCCAGGAATCACTGAGCTTCCAGGGCTCCCAACGTTCATCAGATTTCCAGCCAGACTGAAAAGTGTTACGGAAAGTTTCTTCATTTTCTTTTTCATTTCTGTCTGAATAAAGAGAAATAGGATGTGAGAAATACTTTCTAGGGTTTCCCCCACCAACCCCCAGCTTCCTTGGATTAGACTCCACTTTTGAAATGGTAAAATTAGGAATGGCATTCCACAGGGTAAATAATATTGAAGAATTATGACCTAACCTAGGCATCAAACTTTTTTCTGTTTAGCATCATGATTTAGTGTAACATTAAAAGAGTGATACTGTGTTATACTGTACAAGTTGCTGGTGACTTCCAGTTTTTATAATACTGTCATAATCTGAGTTTTGCCCAGGGATGAAATGTTGATTTCATTTATAGGTCCTTGGTCAAGGAAAGGAGTGGAGAGGTGGTGATGGAATTAATACTATTGGAGGGGGCCAAAAAGTGAGATTGATGAAAGAAGTCATGGAACATTATGCCAGTCAAGAGGATCTGGTTGTCTTGTTTACTGAATGGTAAGAGAAAGAACCTGTGGCTTTCTAAGTCTGTATTAAATTATTTTAAAAGAGTTGAAATTCTTATTTGTAGATTATATATTAAATTATTTTATTCACATGGGATCATTGTTTTAAAAAGTAGATGTTACTCACAATGATAAAACCATGGTCTGACGTAGTTATGTAATATGATCAAATTTGATGAGTTACCATAAACACCAATGGGAAAACAGGGCATGAGCTAAAATTTTTGTGAAATTCATGTTTTAATCCTCACTTGAGATGGAATAAAGATCATATTGAATTTTTCTATTGAGAGAGCAACTCAGTGGATTCTGGTTGTCTGGGAGAAAATACATCATGTAAGTTATAAGTGAGAAATAAAAAAGCCTATGTTTAATAATAAAGAAAAACCTTTCTCATCTGTAAATATCTTTTTGTCTACTAAATTTGGAGTGTTTGCTGTGTCTCCATCTTCTCACATGTTTTTAATAATGTCAAGTTGTCATGAACCATTATTGGTTGCCGCCTTCTTTCTTCCATTTTCTCTACATTCTTTTTTTTTAAAAAACATTTTTTTTTGGCCATGCGGAGTGTGGGATCTTATTTCCCTGACCAGGGATTGAACCCACATCCCCTGCATTGGAAGCGTGGAGTCTTAACCACTGGACCACCAGGGAAGTCCCCCTTCATTCCTTTTTATTTTTATTTTTTGGTCATTGGTCATCATTTTAAATCCCTTTGCGTTTTCCTCTTTAACTTAGGAAAGTTATTTTATATCTCTCCCTCAATTTGAAAATCCAAAACCACAGATTATTACAGGTGAAAGTAAGAAAAATGCTTTTATGCAAATGTTAAATAAAGGCAGAAATTTTGAAATGAAATGGACATACTGAAGTCCTGGTGCCATCAACACTTACAGGTTTTGAAAGGGTCCATATACTTGCATCTTTAGAATTTCTCTACTGTCTCCTGGGAAAAAATAAAGTTCTGCTTATAGTTATTTATTCTTGCAACATGAGATGTGGTATAGATGGTGTTAGCTTGTGTACTGAGAATTTTTCTACAGAATCTATTATTATATATATTTTTTACCCTTAGAAAAAAGAGGAGGAAGTTGATAATAAACAGTTTAGATTAAATATTGAGTATGTTTGGGTTAAAATTACCATGGATTTTAAACAACTATTTTGGTCAGCTTGAACTTGCCACACCTATGTTTTGACTCTGACTTTGAGGCAAATTCTCCTTGTAGAAGTTACCACATATGAGCCAGTAATAGTTTTGGATTCCCAAACCTCTTTCTGCATTTTAGGAAGAACTCGTTTTCCTCTCCCTTTACTCTCCTGTCAGACTGCCCCTCCCCGCTATCCCCCATCTAAGATTTAGGCTTGGAAGAAACTGGTTTAATAAGGGGCCAGTTTGTTTCTAATAAGAAAAGGGACACTGTGAGATATCTGAAGACTGCCTGAGGTTGCATTTGTTTATTTAGATGATACTTTAAGATCCAGTGTGACAGAAAAGACAACAATAAAATTTTAATGGAAGGTCCAGTGTGTGCCAGGCACTGTTAGTATTTGGGATTTATCAGTGAACCAAAGATTAAATTTCTTGACAACTCCCTCGGTGAGAACAGCCAGCTAACCGAAAACATGCAGGCCCAACTCAGCCAAGCCCTTGTCTAGGAAGAAGCGTTAACATTTTTCTCTGTCATCCCCACCTGCCATATCTGTCCTCCTGGAGAAACCTAGGGATAATGAATAAGTAACCAAGATAAAGAAGGATGGACAACTGGTGCCACTTTAGAGCTCTTTTCTCTTCTTCTTTTTTTTTTTTTTTTTTAAACAACACCCTTTTAAAAAAGTACTGTGTACAAGTAATCAATACAGTAGAAATTGTGGGTAATCCAAGGTCTAGGAGAAATGAATTAGACTGTAAGTTATTTGAAATAGGAAAACCATTTTGCAACAATATTGCTAATCTCCTAATTAAGCTTACCTCTGGTTAAGGCTACAGTTCAGAATTTATTGTAATTTTAATAAATCAAACAAATTCCTACTTCTTATATGATTTTTTTAAAGGACAGTTTAATTGTACTAATTAGTTTTATGGAAGCATAGGTTGCTACTATATGAAAAAAATACCAAGATTTATGTACTTAATAGTTTAAATAGTATTTTTTTTAAAAAAACAGCTTTGTTGAGGTAGAATTTATATACTGTGACACACTTATTTTAAGTGAAAAATTCAATAATTTTTATTAAATTTACAGAGTCAAGCAGTTATCTTCACTATTCAATTTTAGAACATTTCCAATAACCCACAGTGATTCCTTGTGCTCATTTAGATAGGCTTTTGTGAATTAACTTGGAAGCAATCTTATAACATCGTTTCCATGGGAATATATATTCTAAACTGACTTTTGGATGAACGTTTAAAATTAGAGACTGGGTGTTTATAAATATACTCTATAAGTTAAGATTTATCATGTTTATTTCAGATAAAAATAAATATTTTGCAAGGGTTTGGGTTCTACTTAAAACAAAATGAAAACTGAAGCTCTCCATATGAGAAAGTACCACAGAATTTTTTTCAAGTTATTTCATACTGCAATGTGTGTGTGCGCACGTGCGTGTGCATATGTGTTTTATTGCAATTAAAAAAGTTTGTAAAGTTGACAGTCTCCCTTTGATTAGAACAACCACCAGTAAATATAATGGATTTAATGACTTTCATGGACAAAGCGTGATGAGTTCTTTTGAAATAGGCTCATAAAGATTTTGGGGACAAATATTGTAACATGACAGCTGAAGATTCCCTATGGATTAAAATTATAATGATTTTATAATTCACCTGGGTCAGGGTAGCTGAACATTTTGAATTTATAATAAGGTACTTTGCATTACTTTTAGAATTACCTAGTAAAACATGTATTTCTTTTAGTCTAGTCACATTGAAGACATATGGTCAGACCTAATTATTATTACATAGTGGGCAGTTTTTTTTTTTTTAAGGATAATACGTAGGCCAATATATAACAAAAGGTGGTTAAGTTATTGTGAGTAAATTCGATACATACTGAATATTTCCACAAACTTGTTCTGTGCTGGGTACAGTAAAACATAAACCAGCAGAGTCCAGACCTTGAAGTAAGTATGTTGTAGAATACTTTTGAGTATCAGATAAATAATAAAAACCTTGGTCATTTGTTTTATTCGTTTTCTTTTAGGCTAAAGAAAATTCTTTAGAATAAAAGTAGTTAGAAATACAGTTGGTGTGACTGAGTTTGAATTTGGACGGAGCAGAAATTTATATTTTTTTGGCGGCACTGAATATAACACCATTAAACAGAATACAGATGTGCTTTGCTTTGAAAGACTCCCACTATATGAAATAATTGAAAGACGTATTTGGTGGTGGTTCTTGGCCTCACCAAAAGGAGTATTTCATCTCTGAAAATACCTACCCAAGGATTTTGCTATATAGCAACTCCCCAGTTCATTAAAGTATAGCAGCTCCCCAGTTCATTAAAGTATTTGTTTAAAGATGACTAGCTCTATGACTTTGAGGTAAGATAGGGGAATTGACTTTGTAATTTATAGGCTTTTGCTAACTAATGATAGCAGTAAGGTAGACTGAGTTTAAAAAAAACTAGAATGGTACTCAATGTCACAATATAAAAATAAAGTTAATATTGAATTAAAATGAATATAAAGTAGGGCTTCCCTGGTGGCGCAGTGGTTGAGATGCCTGCTGATGGAGGGGACACGGGTTCGTGCCCCGGTCTGGGAGGATCCCACATGCCGCGGAGCGGCTGGGCCCGTGAGCCATGGCCGCTGAGCCTGTGCGTCCGGAGCCTGTGCTCCGCAACGGGAGAGGCCACAACAGTGAGAGGCCTGCATACCACAAAAAAAATAAAATAAAATAAAATAAAAAATAAATAAATATAAAGTAAAGCTGATATTATAGTAGTTTTCTAGGTGGCTGTGTTCTGGGACATTGATCCAGCAAACACTAGTCGAAAATTGAGGGATAGTCTTAGTAACAGAAATCTTTGCTGTTAGTGTATATGCCTCATCTCACTTTGATTGTATATTGCTAGCTTTTGTACACTTTTCATGTTGACTGTAATTGTTTTTATGCTTCAGACAGTGAAGCTTAGAGCTGTACCTGATTTACATATTGTCAGGGTAAATAGCAAGGAGTCAATAAATACTAGGTAACAGTATATTGCATTAAAAGACGGAGAAACATCTTGAAAGAGGCAGAAATATGGTGGATGTTTTGAGCCTATTTTTAAAGAGTTTTTCTTTGTTCATTTGGAGAAATAAAGTGACTTAAAGGCAGGAAAGCATCCACATTTTCTAAATCTCAAAGATAGAAATTATGTTAAAAATTGATTTTTGATTAGAAACAATGAAAATGCTGCTGCTGCTTCTTTTGATCTTTCCCATGTCAACCAATGTTTGTTTCTTTTAACTTCTAATTAAATATTAGAAGTGACATCAGTGAGCATATTTTTCACTTTGCATTCAGAATACATGTCTTGAGCAGAAGCTTTGACCCAGGTATTGAACTTAACACTATAGAAAAAGAGATCGACACAGATCCCACCCTCAAGGAATTCTCGTATTATACTAATTCTGCAAACAAAACTGAACCAATCAAATTTAGAAGAAAAATGTGTGTCTTCAAAAAAAACTTGAATGTTGGCATAATCTCTTTAGAATCATTTACTTTAGAAAATTGTGAAAGATTATGTTTTATTTGATCATTTCGTTATATTAATATGAAAGAGAGCCAGAACACATCAGAGTTTTCAGTTTCTACACTGCTTTTTAATTTCTTCCCTTTTTTTTGAAGGAAAGGTTGAAATCTTTAGCTGACACTTAGACATATGCAGTGCCTTAAGGCTCCTCCATGGTAGTGTGAAGTATGATTAGGAATTATGTAGGAAATGAGTGACATTTTTTCAAATTGTTCAAATGTTCTCATCAGTGTTTACTGAGTATATTGGT